GAGAGTAAGAAGAGCAGACTCACCATCGCCATCACTATCGCCGGCCGCCGCCATCTCCATCGCCGGCCGTCACTATAGCTTCCATACATATGCGTAGATATAGAAGGAAGATGGAGTAGAAAGAAGAAGGGGAAGATAAAGAAGAATAAAGACTATAGAGAGGAGGAAGAAGAAGATTGCAGAGATGAGGAAGAAGAAATGAATAGCAGAGATGGAGGAAGAAGAAAGGGGTGGGGAACTGGGGATGAGGAAAAGGGGTGGCGGAGACCAAAGGAGGAAAGAGAAGATAAGAAAAGAAAGGAAGAAAAAGAAAGAAAAGAAGGAAGAGAGGGTAATTTTGGAAGAATAGAGAAAAAAGAGTAGAGTGGGAACATCATTTCCGGACGGAAAAAAGAGTAGAGTAGGAACATCATTCCCGGACGGAGGGAGTATTTTGTATAAATAAAAATAGTTCCTTTCGCTTCTACATAACATTTCATGATGTTTGATTTCCATTATAATCATTTCATTTTATTTTATTAGTCAATTTATATTTAAAATAAAATTTACATATCGAAAAGTACATTAAAAGTTTTATAAAATAAGAATATTTTTATTTTTATTTATATATTGTGTCGAATATCTAAAAGTATTCAAATGAAATTTTTCGGAACATATACTCCATATTAAAATTAATTATATTTTTAAATATTAGGAATTCTAGTTTATGAAATAAAGAAATCTTCTAATACAAATCTATTCTTTTAATTACACAATATATAACACTAAGAATAAGATTGTAACAAAAAATATTCTAGCTGGGTTTGTGGATAGCTTAGTATAATGGAAAGAGGTTTAGGGTTTGAATCCTGGAGATGGATAAATTTTCACTAATTTTCCAAAATAAAAAAAGAAAAAAACTAGTTCGATTGGCTGGTTCTTAGTGGTTCAAATTGGTTCAATGCATATAGCGGTCCACTAGGTTGGATTGGACCGGTTTGACCTCCGATTCACTGCTTCGCGGTCCGAACAGACCGGTTCGATTTGATTTTTAAAGCCATGATTGTTCCTTTTAATATGGGAGGGAGGGAGTACGTGGAAATATGAGAGATCAATGGAGCGATCTTCAAGAAGATTATGTTGGCATCCTCGCTTTTAAACTTTCAAACCATGTCTTTTTTTAGTCAAAAACCTGTCTAATCTATTTCTTGATCTTTACTTCACTTGTATTCTCCTCGTACTAAATTTTTCGGAACATATACTCCATATTAAAATTAATTATATTTTTAAACATTAAGAATTCTAGTTTAAGAAATAAAGAAATCTTCTAATACAAATTTATTCTTTTAATCACACAATATATAACACTAAGAATAAGTTTGTAACAAAAAACATTCTAGCTGGGTTGGTGGATAGCTTAGTATAATGGAAAGAGGTTTAGGGTTTGAATCTTGGAGATGGATAATTTTTCGCTAGTTTTCCCAAATAAAAAAGAAAAAAAACTAGTTCGACCGGCCGGTTCTTAGTGGTTCAAATTGGTTCAATGCATATAGCGGTCTGCTAGGTTGAATCGGACTCGTTTGACCTCCGGTTCACTGGTTCGCAGTACAAACAGACCGCTTGTAACACCCCAACCCGCATGATCCAAACCCGTGAGACAGCGGACCGGTGTGCCACTAAATTGGTATTCGAATTTGCGACATTTTCAAAACAATTTTAAACAAACGTTCTTTCAATACATATGAAAATCCATCGGAGTAATTTAAAATAATGCGGAAGCCTTTTTAAAGTCAAACAACTTGGGATCTTGCCCGAAAACGTAATAAGCATTAAAGTTAATTAAATAAAGCATAATCAACAGATTAAAGAGACAGCCACGCCATCGTACATCTCCTCCTCAATGCCCTCTGGGATCGGCTCTAGGTTCATCTGTCTGATCACCTACGGACAGCAAAAGAAAACAACGCTATCCGCTCAGCATTGACGCTGAGTGGTACTCCATTGCAGCACAAGAATAAACATAATAATTCAACAATTAAGATCGTGCATAAGTTTATCCTTTTAATAAAAATCAATTCAACTTAACATTC